AAGAAAGGGAAAAAAGTCTTTCACCAGACCTCCTGGCCAGACCGACAACTGTCACACGTGTGGTCTTACCGCAGCCGAAAGGGACGCTGCCTTCGAGTGTAACATACGCAACAGGTGGTTACACAGTCGGTGTGATAAGCCCATACTGGACCAATATTACGCCTTCATGGCGCGCTACCCACTCACGTGGTTCTGGTGCATCTGCCCACAGCGTCGTGTAAGGCCGCCCTTTTCCACGGGCTCCTTTAGGGAGGTCGTAAAAGGCACCCCGGTGGCTACTGTGATGCAGACATCCGCACAAACCACTACCCCGGGGTCAAAACAACAAGGGTATGGGCACCGTTTCTCAGACAGTCGCCCATATGAATAGTCTAAAAAGGGCCAAACTACAACCCGGTATGCAACCAACCGCATTAGCCCCTAACTCTGAAGTCACTTTGAGGGCTACCCCCACTGTACATCGGCTCAACCCACTCATAAAAACCCACACACAGCACGCAACAACAGGGGCGTCGATGACAGATCGGATTCTGTCATCTTATTTAACGTCCCCGTGTGCCTTTATAACCTTGTTGAGAACAGAGAGTCTTTCGACAAACAGCAAAGGCAAAAAGTATGCGCTATGCTAGGACCGGGCTGCTTGAAAGCAAAGCTGAACCGGCTCTACAAAATAACTACTCACCTCAAGGGAAGACCCCGCCGATGAGAGCGCCCCTGAGCTCGGTTAAGGAGGCAGGAGGACGCCCGTTGCTGTCACGCACACCAGTCATCAATCGGCCAACCAGCATTCAGGCTGTCGGGCCGGCCATGGTCAGCGAGAAAAGTGTCACGTGAGGCACCTGACACGCTGAAACCGACAACTATGGTTGTCCACGGAACACCGGAACTACTAACCGGCACATCAGTACAGAAGTACGCTCATGACGTTCGACAATGGCAGTGGTTATCGGCGAAGAAAGGATTAAAGGGGAGGGCGGCAGTGGAGGTCTGTAGACCGCCACGTCCCTCACACGACGACGATAACATCTCACATGTTGATGGCTATTAACCTCGAGTGTCAAGAACTTCTAACCAAAGTACTGCAAACTTAGGGCGCAGTTGAAGACAACATTAGAGGAAACGTTCGCCGCTGTGACAGTATTTCCAGGACACTGCGACAACAGCAAACGATGGCTCAGCCTAATGCCGAAGCCACCATCACTATCAACAGACAAGATATCCAAATCAGCCTCGGCTCCATAAAACCCCTAGAAACCTCAGTACGGAAAACATGATTGGATCGGTTCCGTAGGAACCCGCCGTCTTGCAACAAACTTCAACATTGCACACGGGCCTCTACGGTCTGCCATCACCAAGACACCCAACGGTGTCAGAAACACCCCAAGTTTCTCTACAGCAGTGTGACGGGACTTAGAGGCAAGATGGAGGAACTAAGGTCTCTCTGTTCCTACCTGGCCCCGAAGATCATGATCCCAGCAGAAACTTGGTTATCACTGGACATCAACGGTATCGAAACTGCTATAGACGGTATGAGTCTGTTCTGGAGAGATAGGGAGCCTAAGAGGGAGGCTAAGTAGCAATGTTGATAAGTGACAATCTAAAAAGTACACCAGCTACCGAAACTCTGCCTTCAGGGCTCCCAGGCTCCATCTAGTGCCACTTTACGATTGGACACACCAATACCTGATAAGAAGTCTACACAACTACCCGCAATGTGAAACACAACTGCTCCAAGCGATCTCCTCTTTGATGTCTATGGGATAGTACCACGTCAATGCTTCCTGAGTGCCTAATGTTGCAACTATCAACCTTGAGTAGGACAGGGGAACCACAGGCAGGAGGTTCGACCGAGACCTACTCAACACTACCGAAAAGGCTGGACTGCCATGGGAATATCAGAGAAGACACACGCTGGGGATCGAGCGGAAAGCCATCCAAACAGGACTACCTTCTTCCCAATGACAATCTGCCGGCGGAAAACGTTCAGGTTCAAACCTCTCTTAGCGGAGGCAATCACGGTGTGGTAGTGTTTGATGTAGTATTCAACGAACAACCGTCATGGGAGCGATCTCTCCTGGGTCTTTCCCACAGCAGGGCAAACCACGTGGCAACGAGCCAATATCTGTCGACAGCATCAAGGCCTCAAGCGTGGAATAAACCTTGGACTGATCAACACTGGGGACTGTTTAAAGATGTGATCAAGGGAGCTATCTCCGAAAACGTCCCAGCAGTCATAGCAACGCTGAGAAAGAGAACCCTGCGGTTGAAGCGAGGCACTGAATGCCTTCTGAAAGCCAAGAGGTAAGCATGGCATTAGTGGAGGAACTCCAGAAAACAGTATGATCATATTGCATATATGACTCCTAGAAATCAGTGCAGTATCAAATTTAGGGGTGACAGGAGGTCGTTCCAGAAGGAACCTAACTAAAAGCTTCAGGCGAACCCCAAAAACCTACATCGATTCATGGCAGGCAGAAAATCTACCAGCAAGGGAACCTGAGTTCTTAAAAGCCCGGAAGAGGAGGATCCCTCTGGACTAGAGATAGCTGAAACCTTTGGCGTCGCCTTCGACACACAATTGAACATGTTTCCGCCCAACCTAAATCGTCAACTGCTCGGCCGACTCTCAGCACTACTAGATTCAGTAGAGTTGCCTGTAGTAAAGGTAACTCTTACTATGGCCATTGAGAAGTTATCAAAGCTCCGCGTGGGGAAATCACCAGGACGTGTTGACGTCAAGCCGGCTGTGTTGAAACAACGATCAGGGACCCTATGTGGTCTGCTCCGTAATCTATTTCAGCACTCCTCGGACAATCTCATGCTTCCATGACAGTGGAAACGTGCTGTTCCATGTTCCATCTTCAAAGGAGCAGACAGGTCGAACTTTAAATGCCAACGACCCATAACGCTTCTGCTAGGGAAGTCGAAAGCAATGGGGGGTCTAGCAGACGACCATATGATGGGCCGCTTGGAACGTAAGGTAGTGCCAAGTGGTGCGCAACGTGGTTTCAGAAAGCGTAGGTCCTGCGCACTGAACATTCGGGAGGCCGCCGATAGGTGGAAGGCATACTGTGACCCTGAAATTCAAGTTCGTATTATTTTCCTGGACTTCGCTAAGGCCCTTGACACGGTCCCGTACACCATTCTCATCCGCAAAATATCAAGATTGGTCATCAATAGTCAAGTGCTCTCCTGGCTGCATGACCATTTAGATGGCAGAAAATTCTGCACAAAGGCCAACAGGGTTTGTTCTACTTAGGGGACATCAACATCTAGTGCATCACAAGAAGTGATTCTGGGTTCGCCGCCATTCCATCACTTTGCGAACTACCTTCCACTGAATCACCACTCCCTGATTCTGCTTTAGGGTGAGGACGTTAAGTTATGAAGAGCTGTGACATCCGAAGCAGAATCAAATGCACCACAAGGTGATCTCAGACTGCTTGCGGAGTTGGCGGATAATAACGGACTACCGTTTAATCGGGAGGGGTGCCGAACCATGTTTCTCTGCAATTTTGACTCCCAGAAGGCACCCTACTCTCCCCGTGGAACACGACCTTGCCATACCACCACGGAGAATGGCCTGAGACTAATACTCACCAGCAAATCAGACATTAACTCTAGCTATACAGGATATGCCTCCACAGCCTGCTCAGTGCTGCACCTCATGCCCAGACAAATGGGCACCCTCGCCCTGGAACCCTTCCTGAAGCTTCAGGAAACCCAAATACGACCTCAACTAGAGGTCCACGACATCACTGCACCATTGTACTTGAAAAGAGATGTGAACCTCCTGTAGAAAGTTCAGAAGGGAGCAACAAAGGGTGTCATAGTAATGAGGCAAAACACGTGTGGGGGCAGGCTGAGAGACCTAGGGCACTACTCTCTCAGCTACCGTGGATTACATGGCAACCTGATGACGGCTTACAAAATACCAAGTAATCCAGGTCAACTAAGCAGTGGAATCCTCCCAAATAGCAACTGAGGTGATCCTCGTGGAGACCGGAGGAGAATTGCCCACCAAATGGAGCAAACCCGTGTGCGTTCACACTTCTCTCTGGGAGTTTGTGGCCACTGGAACTCATTGCCTTCGAAGATTGCTACTGCTTCGTCTGTTGACGGCTTTAAGAAGAGATTGGACAGTTACGCGACGACGCATGGTTTGTGCTGATGCAGCCGGGATATGCAATAGTCTGATGCAACCTACTAACTCCGCCCAGCTCGGCACAGCCAACCCATTATCGAATCTTTTGCAACGCCATTATCACGAATTTGGCTCGACCCTATACTTCCCCATAGATATCTCCAGTTACCATCTACTGGTAGCATTACTTTTTTCCCGCAAGCCATCTTCGGATATTATTTGCTCCCTCTCTTCCCAACGACTTTGTGTTCTCTCACTATTCAATAAAAGTTCTCCTTATAACCCCTCTTCCACGAATCCATCGGGGTTTCTTCTTCTGTCCCGCCGTCCTTTCGCCTTAGCGTTTTTTCTTTTGTTTTGTTTTCTTCGCACTTCCTCTGCCTTGATTTCCATGGGCATCGTTTCCATCTTCGTTTTACAAATAGTTCGACGGACTGTTGGGTGGCATGACAATTAAGGACCCCATCTGGACCACAGTCCTTGAAACAACCACACACTCCCTACAGATTTGACCAACACCTAACGGTCTGTCTGGCTAACCAGGGCTACATCAGGCGAGTGGGTAGACTTACTCCACTGGAATCCATCAAAGACCCGGAACCGTCCCGTAAGACCTAGAAGAGAGTGCGAATAAATCAGTTGGTTCACACTAACTCGTGACAGTATATTCGATATTGGATACAGGTTCGAAGAAAGCACTATGTGATTATTTAAGTTACAAGAACAGTTTAGAGCATCGGTTTTCCATCCAGTTTCCATATGAAAGCCTAGACGCGAGAGATCAAAAACTACCAGTTTTCTACGCTCACACTATCAATATTGGATATTGGAAAGCCTCCTTGTAAGAACTATTTTTCTTCAGTCGACCTTGGTTCTGTATGTTACGTTTGTTTTGCATAACATCATTATGTAAACACAAACAAACGCACCTTTGAAATTAATGATGATACCTGAAGGTCGTGTGGCAGATGCATATACCAACTTCATATGTTTAAATGAGTCTTCAAACTCATATGGATATCATGCAGGTGAATATCCGACTTTCAAAGTTTAAGATTTTGAAGGCTATTTTCAATCACGCTGAACAACATATTGTGTTTTAAACGATACATATGTGCATATATATGGTGTATAAGATATATACTCTGGAAAACTGTATTTTTTGATAATACGAAACTAAAAAAGAAGAACTTTCAATATTTTTAAGTGTTTCCCTAGGGCGAACTATTTCAGCCTTAGTCGTTTTTAGCACGAATATAACCAACTTATAAATAAATAATTATAAGTTCTCGAAGCTATGCAATTGAGCAAGTCAATCAATAAGTCGACAAGTTTTTCAAGCTGCAAATGAGAAGGCAAAGTGCCTATACAACGCTAAGAAGTAGGTGGACGAATAGGTCTTTTGTTGTGCACTTGCTGTGGTAGTCAGTTCACGTTTTTATCCTTCTCTTTTCCCTTGAAGACCCTTGTGATCGCTACGATAACCACAGACCTCCCTGAAACAATGAACCTACATGCAATCTAGACGAAGAATATCAACAACTGGTCGTTACACTTTAATGAGCTTGACTACCTACTTATCCACTTTCCAGTTCCTACTTTTAGACTGTTTCACCTCTTCCTTTTCAAGCTATGTCGTTTGTCACTTATCAGTAACAAATAAGTGTAAGCATAGAACACAGCAGGTTAAGCATCAGGGACAACTTCTATTCCCTAAGAGTTGTTAAACCCTGGGATGCTGTTCCTACCGAAGTGATCCAGGCTAGTTCATCTAAATTCTCTAAACCCGGGCTTGAGTTTTATTCGATGTGTGGCTGCAATCCCCTCAGAACTATCTTAATTTCCAATTTTTAGCTGCTGCTTTTTGCTCTCTCAATCTACTTGTGCGCAGGTTAATAACGACAGGTACTAGTGATCCACGCATTTCAGACACGGAAGTCAGTTAAGCGAAAGCTTACTCTATTCCTTCGATAGCCATCTGAACTATTTAAAAGTCAGGAACTCAGAAGTTGGGTGATAAACTAAACGTCTCAGACATAAAATGAGCTGGTGCAAATAACCAAGTGGAAGTTCAAATATTTCAACGATACCTGTTAGTCTTATATTTTCGCTCATTGATTTATAGGCTTATAAGCATCTGTGTACATCAGATTTGCTGTTTATATTCCTTAAATGCTCCTAAAAGACGCACTCATTTTAGTGTAATTACACTGAGATACAGTTTTATATTTGTATTATAATCTATGAACTCAGTCTTCAGTAGAAAGAATGGTAGGCTATTACCCTTTGTCCTACTCTGCAGGAATTATCTCCGTGAATGTCGAGTTTCCTCTTGAATGGCATAGCCGAAGAAGCTGCTACCACTTATTGTAGTAACGAGTTCCAGTAACTACCACTGTGTACGAAAACCGGTAATGCTCTCGAGTATTATTCAACTTCAGCTTTTAAATCTTTTTTAAATGCGCTCTAAGACAATCATTCGTAGAGGGAGTGAGTCAATTAAATAAATCAGTACCCAAGTCATTATTCGAAATGCAAAAAGCATACACCAGGTCATGTCTGTTTCTAAGATAAAGGAAAACGGTTTAGGCCTGCTATTTGCTGTTCATACAAAAGGTGTGAAAAAAATTCCCCAGTTTTTTGGCAACTCTTAAGGCTTTCTGATGCTTTACCTTTATTTTTACAGCACAAACTAGCCACCTGGATACAACTCTAGGAAAGTCCTGATATAAGTTGGTCACAAAATCCTGAAAGTCTCCTTACCAATGAATTCGAATGCCTTACAGGTGACCACAGCATGCGAAACGCTTTATCTACAGGAGCATTACAATTCCCAGTCATCTTTAAGTCGTGACTTATAATAATCCATAAGCTTTTTATTTAAAAACACGGGATTTTTGTTGACCATTCATTGATTATCCAACAGAAAATTCACTTTTGATGAGCCTTACTGCAGTTTCACTGGAAGTGATCTACAGGCTCTCTCGCTTAGACTATTCAGCCAGTTGGTCAAGGTCAGCTTAGAATGCAGATCTGTCATCATTATCATTATGACTGATCCTATATCATCAGCAAATAGCAATGATAAAACCAGCATCCTTGGCATTTCGTCAACGCGAAGAAGAGAGGGTAACGGTTTAAGGATAACCCTAAGGGAAATATCATTGGCGACAGGTCGCACTCAGTGTTCCATTGCCTCCTACTCGTTGTCTTCTCTTGTGTAAGTATTCCCTGATTCAGGATTTCAGCGGCTAACTGATATTTCTAATCAGAGTGAAGCATCGAAATGAAATAAACAATTAAGGGGACGTTTTCCGTTTTAAACATAACCACAGTTAAGTTTGGTCTTAAATGCTAAAATTTGAAGGACAAGCGATCAGAAATAATCTTTCAGTAAGCATATCTATGGAGATCTGGTTCGTCTTTGTAACCATTCACCAAATGTGGTGCTATCATCTGTTTTGGTTACACGCTTCAGTCATTAATCATTCATTAATGAAACCCGGATTCGATGCGAAGTTCATCCGACTCTAGGCTATGAACGTTTTGCGATAACCTCGAAAGTAAGAAATCTTAGAACCAGTCAAAGACTAGGGATCAACAACTGAATTCCCATTCAAGACATAATATTTCAAAATAAGGCCGCTTATTTTTCGATTGAACCGCGCAAAACGATCTAGCAGTTAAAAGTGGTTTTCATGAGACATTTGCGAAATCCTCGCCAATAACTTAGTGACCACGCCTCGAACACGTCCCAACACATCCTGAAGCAAAGACTTACTCCCTGTATGCATTACTTTAGCTGAAGTAGTACCTGGAAAGGAAAAACTACTGTGGGTGCATTGTGCGTAGCACTTAGTAGTATTACCAAGTAACTATAACATTTGGAATCTCTTACCTATACACGTATTAGAAGGTGCTATGTTTTTCACATTACCGCCAACAGTGACCTTTTTTCGTTCTGTTCTCTAATGCAGCGTAACACCGGGTCACTTAATGAATATTGAAACGAGTCACTTGACCACTGTGCATTACTGGATAAATTAGACCACTTGGTCAATTTATCTAATAGCAGTGATTGCCCATAGGTGAGAACAGTCGTATATATTTGTGCAACAAAACTTTAACAATATTTCACCAGTCCTAGAAGTGACAACTTCATAAGCTCTACCCAATGTGGTGAATAGATTTGATTTTGAACCTTGATATATTTAGCTTTCTTACGTTATCTCTACCCATACCTGTCCTTTTTCCTGATTTTATAAGTCTATGCTATAGACTCCTTCTTTTTTACCCTTTAAGACCAGTTTTATTTGATCGTGGTTACTGAATTACCACTTAAACTTTCTCACACTTTGCTTCCTTTATCTATTCAGTTCAGCCGAACAAATAAGGGAATTCAAGGAAATGGTAACTATTGACCCCGACAGTTGTACTGCGAGAACAAGTTATACATTATTCGAGAAATCAACCAACGTTTAGATGTAAACCAGGCTTACTAGAGCAAACAAGGGTTGTTGAGATTTTTGCCCACTGTTGCTGTGAATCATTGGGTTAGACAAGTGGATTGTAACCAGTGAACCAAGACTTGAACTCTCATCCCACTTACGGAATCCTAGCAGCCTTAATACCATGGATGTGGCTCGACGCTTAGTGTGTGTAATGCGCATGATGTCTAAGTTCCAGTAACTCAATTTCCTGATGACGTCATTCTACATTGTCTTTTGCAGTGGCTTCATGCAAACCATAGTGACAACCACAAATTGCTGGTTCTGCATTTAACTGAGTGGAATAATCGTACTAACTACTGACAAGATTAGTAGTCCATAGGTGAAATTTATACAACAAGACACAACCAAACTGTGAAGTTTTACCGTGATTTTCTGTAGGAATTAAAGTGTTCAAACCTCCGAAAGTGATCTGCTTAAATCCAGTAGCTGCATCAAGAGACAGAAACAAACTCCAAGTTATGGGTAAAACATAGCCAGTTGTCAATACAGAGTAGCATCCAGGACAAGCCCAATAATCTTTTGTTAGCTAAGGAGATATTTTAGAGGCGATATTTCTTAATAATATGTTTCTTATTTTAGACTACGTATCTTACAGACAGAGATGTTGGCCTAAGTTGATACACATCTGGTAAGAATCATGTCATATATAGTGTAAACGTTTCAACTCCATGATGATAGGGGTCAAATCCTTTTGTTGGTTTTATCCTATGGAGAAAATAATAGAATTAAATACTTATGGTTGCCTTAATTCAGTAGTACCATCTTTGAAGTCGCCCTAAATTATTATGAAATCAGTAGTACCAAACCAAAACAGATATGTAAGCTGCTTTTAGTTAATGTATTTGTGTTTAAACTATGAACTCGGAAATAAAAGTTTGCTGGTTATATTTCTTGACGAATAACAATTTCAAAAGGCAAGCAGACAAAATAGAACTTGGTATGATTGCTCATCGTCTACAGTCCCCACACTTGATATCAGACAGCGAAATGAATATAATTTTCTCAATATTCGGGAACGAAAACTTGTTAACAAAACTAAAGAACAGTAAAAAAGACAAAGGCATGTAAAGCCTGTTATACCACCAGAGTCGTAAGTTCGTAATCATCAATTTTAGTTGCGTCAGTGACCAGATCCAAAAAGCAAACTGCTATACATGATTAAGGTCATTAGTTTAGGATTTCACGCAATAATGACATCCATCATGCTTACCAAGGAACTGATTACGATAGCGCATAATATTAACTGAAGCTGAGTTAAGTAGAAAGAAGCTTAATAGTGAGTATATCTGAACAAACTATCAATTCATGAAGATAATGACTGTTGGTATGAATTATGCATAGAAGTCAAGGTTCATTAGTAATTATAATCAAGAATTTAGTAGCTAATGGAGATCGGTCATCGTTCTACAATATCTTAAATTTCGATAATCTTATTCGTCTTTATTCATCTATTATATGTCTCTTGTCGCACCTTAATTGTTGATTTTGACATGTTTCTATCAAATTTCACTTCTGTTGACTTTTTAATATCATATTGGGAAGTCTGACAAGTTGGATCTCTGCGATTTCCCAAAGGATTCTAATTTCATTTATTCATGTTCTTGTTCTCATTGTAACTCAAAAAATAACTCTTATGTAAGTCTGTTACGTATAAACTAATGATGCAAGGTATGCTGCAAATAATAAATATAACTTATGTACAAGTCCATATTTTATATCTAGATCACTAAAATCCCTGATAATTGAGTACTAAATAGCAATGTTCAGTTATAATCTGGTAAGACTCTGAAAAATAGCCATTTACTCATCAAAAGTTAAATATACAATGCAATTTGTTTGTTTGTTTGAAGAGAAAATGGATAAGCTGTTATTATTAAATGACGGACACCATGAAACATATTTCAACTTTAATGTTACTGGGATTAATGCATATTAGTTTAAATATGGTGCTAATAGTCTGACAAGCTTCTGAGTTTTCTTTGACTATGATATGATTTTTAGTTAATCAGTGATCATGTGACTTAGAAAAGTGATTAATAGAATGAAATGTTTTAAGTAAAACATACTGAGTATTTCATTTAACTACTTGATTCACAGAACTAGTAATATATTGCTAAATTTGAAATTGATACAAGAGTTCTAAGTAGACTTAAAGGTAAATGAGTTAACCATATTTCTATGAGACTTTAATAATCTAGTGTTAACCTCTGTTTAATCTCTTTTATATTCCTTAAAGATTCGCAGTCTAGTAGCAGCAATAAAGATAAATGTCTTCAAAATAATGAAACACCAGTTGGTAGTGAAGCCACTGATCGTCTGGATTCATCGTATCTCCACTCCAAACATTGTTTACCCGAACTTGATGGTTATCCCAGTGATCTGATAGATTTGGATAAAATAAAACATGAGAATCTTTTTTCCGATGTCAAACTCAATGATATCAACATGATTTACGATCAAGCTGCGTCAAAGCTTAAAGAAAATCTAACTGTAAGTTTTCATTACTGCTACACGTTACAGATAATCTTCTACAGTTATAAAAAATCATCGTAATAAACCAATAAAATGAGAACATAAATCTTTAATAGATAACTCATTTATCTTTAAACCATCATAAAGTATTTAATTTTTTCTCTGAATTTTAAAAGATCTAAGTTTTTAGTAGATTCTGCTTTACAATAGAATCACTAAAGGAATATCATGAACAGAAATCCAAAGTAGATACAAGTTAAACAATCAACGTAGGATGTTTTGCTAATTGTTTATAGGGCCAAAATTTCAGGATTGGCAAAACTGTACTGTCTCTTGCTATTAGAATATAACTAGTTCCAAATAATCATGGAATAGTTCAATGGCAACATCACCATTAACTTGATATCTAGACGTTATTTCAATGTATACAACGGTTAGGCATTGTACAAAGATTGAACTTAGAATGAAGTAAATGATCATCATTCCTATAGGCCATATATATGGTTGCAGGAGAAGATTTACCACCTGTCTGGTAACCTTTCGAAGCATAGATAATTTAAAAACAATTCAAAAGTCATGAAAATCTGCTGAGTTAAAAAAAATCAGCAATGCTACGCGTAAAAAGAGTATCTGTTGTAAGAGACGTGTTTTGACAATTCATTTTTCCTATCAAACTTGTAATTCCCCGTTGCTTTACAGGACCGGATTGCTCTACCTATGTTGGCAGATGGGCTCCTATATGGATGCCTCGACACTACTGATCATTCATAATGTTAGATTGATCTCGGTGACCAGCAGAGAAATTCAGGACGCGCATTTCGTTTTATTTGGGACTCGTTTGCTGGATGTACCTGCATCCTAGTGAGTAATGTTGTTCCCATTGAGTCTCAAACCAAGTACCCTTCGCTTCAAACGCCAGAGTGTTATCCACTAAGCCACTAGGGAACGATAGTCACCACTTGTGCGACGGGTGTCATTTGTTGTTATGATGTCGATACCCGCCACTCAAGAGATGGCTATCGTGCCCTAGTGGTTGAGTGGATAACGCTTTGACGTTTAAAGCGAAGGGTACTGGGTTCGGGCTTCGGTGCGAATAACACCACATACTTGGGGGTCCAGATACATCCAGCAGACAAATCCCAAATAGGACGAAGTGCACGTCCTGGATTACCCTACTAGTCAATGAGATCAATACAATATAACGGACAAATAATCTAGAATATTATTTTCTTTTGTTTTCAGGTTCATTATCAATCAGTACAAAAAGAAATAATGTTAGCTGTGAAAAGCCTTTTTTCAACTGAAATGCATCGGTAATTGTGTTGTTTTTTCAATGAAATTTAATTGAAGAGAACAAATTTCTCGATTTTTTTTTGTCACTCTGACTTCTTTTCCCACACTTTCCCGCTTTATCATCCGACATCAAAGTTAGAAAGGTTTTCTAACAACAATTGTTTTTCAAAAATGAGTTGATAGAGAAATCATACAAGCCTGTAAAACTTATCAATAGCAAGATAGACAGCCTTTTTTGAAAATCTGGACTTACAACGTATCAATTGTGGTCTAAATACCGTAGTGGCTAAGCACCTGACTTCAGCACTGCCTGACGCACGTTTGGATCCCTGAGGGAATACTGATCCCTTCATGACTCCGCTTTGCTAATGGCAGCCAACAACCATGAAGCTTAGGCTCAAGGCTTTTTACCGATTGACTTCCACCAGCTAACACCAAGGTGTATATTTAGTGACCGATTAATTGTCAGTTGTTTTATAAAACAAAAGAAATTCAGCGAAGAGTCGCTCTCTTCGGTTACGTCATTTTTGTGCTGTACAATCGAAGATATATATTAAATTCACATGGCAAGCAAAAACGAATGTTTTATAAAATATTTTATAACAAAAATCAGTTTTGACCATAAATCAGCAGATCGGAAAAGAGATTACGTAATGTCTACAATAGTAATAAGAAGACTTATCCAAACTGAAAAAGTTTTAAGTGACAAAGTTGAGTTTTCGGATACAAATTTGAAACAAGCAACAAACTTAATTAAAGCAGGATTTATCGAATTTATAAATTTCAGTAGGACTCGTCAACTTTTTACCCTATATACTTGAGTTTATTTATACTATTATTATTTATTAGTCCCTTGGGTTCCTAGTGGAACATAGGGCTTCAGTAGCACGCCTCCAGTGAACTCTGTTCTCTGAGATCTTTTGAACCTGGTCCCACGACAGCCCACAAGCTCTTATTTCCTCCTCGCACGACCTCCTCCATGTCACCCTTGGACGTCCAACTCGTCGCTTCCCATGGAGATTCCACTCGAGGGCCTGGCGCGTGATGTCCTCAGTCGGCCTTTTCAGTGCATGCCCAATCCATCTCCACTTCCTTCCAGTGCATATTTGTTCAGCGATAGCTTCCTGGTTGGCTCGTTGACAGCCAGAGTTCCCTGTTGCCCATTCTTTCTAGCAATCTGATCTTCAGTAGCGAGCCAGCGTAAGCAGTTGTTGATGAATGTCTGTAGTTTATTGGAAATGCCTTTCGTGACGCGCCAAGTCTCTGAACCATACAGGAGCACTGACTTGACGTTGGTGTTGAAAATCCGTATCTTATTCCGCATGCTGAGTGCAGAAGATCTCCACACTGGTTTCAGGCTAATGAACGCCTGTCTTGCTTTTCCGATTCTGACTTTGACGTCCTCGTTCGTCCCGCCTGTAGTTGAAACAGTGCTTCCTAGATAAGTGAAGGAGGTTACTTCCTTTAAGTTTCTCCCGTTGACGGTGATTGGAGTTTGTTGTTGGTGGTGGTGGTGCAGTATCTTCATCACTTCTGTCTTCTCTATATTCACCTGAAGTCCCGTCTTAGCTGCCTCTTCTATCAACTTGTTAGTTTTTGCCTGCAGATCTTCAAGTTTATGTGACATTAGGCACAAGTCATCGGCGAAATCCAAGTCTTCTAGGTTCTTTTCCGCCGTCCAGCGTATCCCCCTCTTCTCGCTGCCTACTGTTTGATGCATGGTCCAGTCCACCACAATAAGGAATATCATGGGGGATAGTAGGCAACCTTGTTTCACTCCTGTCTTCACTTCACTGCAAAATCATCACTGAGCTTCCCATTGTGAATTACTTGGCATGTGGCATCTTCATATAGTTGTTGAATGAGGCGGATAAAGGTTTGCTGTATTCCATAGTATTGAAGCAGTTTCCAAATTACTTCTCGGTCGACGCTATCAAAGGCCTTCTCAAAGTCGATGAAGTTGAGGTGGAGAGCTGATTGCCATTCTATGCTCTGATCTATGATGATGCGTAGAGTGGCGTTGCAATTCGGTCCACCAACGATTTGTACTTCCTGAAGCCAACCTGCCTGTTCCGGTCATAGTTTTGAATCCAACGCATCCTTAAGCCTCTCCAGGATGATGCGGCTTAATATTTTACTTGCTCTGGGTGGACAGGAGAGTGATTCCGCGCCAGTTCTTGCAAACACTGAGGTCTCCCTTCTTCGGCAGTTTGACAAGGTAACCCTTCTTCCAATCAATAGGCAGGTACCTTCTCTTCTTTCCACACCTTCTGCAATAGTGGTGTGAGCATGTCTGGTGTTGTCTCTGCATCTGTTCTCAGTGCTTCTGGCGGTATTCCATCTGGTCCTGCTGCTTTCCCACATTTCAGTGGCTTTATGGCGTTCAGGACTTCCACTTTTGTTGGAGGATTTATGTTCACTTGTAGTTCTGTGGCTGGGCTGCAGGTGGTATTTGTGGACGAAGTGCAGGTGGTGGTGGTCGATTCAAGAGCTTCTTGAAGTGGTCGGCCCATTGTTTCCTTTCTTTCTCTTCTTTCATAATTAAATTTTCGTCATCACCTTTTATTGGTTTCGTCTGCGTTGATCTCTTCCCAGATAGAGTAACCTGGTTATCTGATACAATGTTGTCAGGTCTCTATCTCTGCTACCTGCAGCCTCTTCTGCTTCACTTCCCAGTGTTTCGTAGTAGTGTCTTTTGTCTTTGTGTGCACACTTCTTCACTTCTTTATCCAGTGTAGTGTTTTATACATTGTACTCAGTTCCTCTTGTCGCTGAGCATCCTTGCACTGCATTGGTTTATCTTCTACTTCACCATCCTCCTCTCCCTGCTCTATCAGCTTCCATGTATCCGTCGAGATCCATTCCTTATCTTCTGTCTTCTTCCCTCCTAATACGGCTGTGCAGGTTTCTTTCCACATCTCTCTCAAAGACTCCCAGTGTTCTTCCACACAGGTTTCTTCACGGATGTTCCTCGATATCTCCCATTTTGTCTTGATGGCTGGCTGCCGTGAAGATCTCCTTTGTAGTTTCATCCTACAGTTTCCGGGTGTTGTACTTGAATTGAGGTCTATCACTAGCATCCTTGAAGGCTTTTAACTTGATTTGGAAGGTTCCTTGCACTAGATGGTGAGTGGTGTGAACCTACATCTGCTCCTCTTCTTGACCCTATGTCAAGTAGACTGCGTCTCCACTTTCTTGAGATTGAGATAAAGTCGATCTGATTTTTAGTGTAGTGTGTCCTGGTGTCTGGTGAAATCCACGTCGCTTTGTGGATATCTTTGTGCCTGAACACACTGCCTCCAATCACCAAATCGTTGAATGCGCAGAATTCTGCAAACAATTCTCCATTCTCGTTCATCACCTCACCGAGTGCTTCTCGGCCCATGGTTAGTTCTCTTCCTGTGTTGTCCGCTCCCAGTTCGACATTCATGTCGCCTATTAGAATGGATTTTAATGCCGCCAACTGAGGTCTTGTCTAGTGTTGGTTGAAGTTGTCTGTAGAATTCCTCCTCTTTCTCTTTCTCTTGCTCTGCATTATTTGTAGGTGCGTAGCGTAGCATTGTATGATTGTGACTTTCCTTCCTTCCTTCCTTTTGAGTTGAACATTGCTGTCATGATCCTGATGGTGGATGAGATTGGTTCCCACTGCATGAGAGCCTTCGATGCGCTTGGGGACATTATGATAGCCACTCCATAACTCAGTGTGCTCAAGGTTGTCGTGTGGGTGACAATATCGGAGTAGATTATTGATTCTCCAGTTGAAAGTTTTGAGAGTCCACTCCCATTCCATCTGCTTTCGCAAATTCCAAGCACTTCGATGTGATACCTTCTCATCTCCTTTGCAATCTGGGCTGCCTTACTGGGTTCAAACATCGTACGGACATTCCATGTCCCCACGTTTACTTTCGCTTTCATCGAGAGAAGACACATCGGCCAATTGGCTTCCCGAAGTCAGGCTTTCACCAACTGGCATCATTTCGCCTCTCCGATTCCAGCGAGGAATCAGTTTGTTTTCATTTTTTATATTTTGTTTGTGCTTTGAAATTTGTTTAGCGGTTGGATTTGTTTTACGGGGTAGGGTTGCTAGCCCTACGCGCAACCTTCCCTGTTTACCCGGGCTTAGGACCGGCTAGTAACTAGTGAACTAGTTAACCAGGCGAGGTTACTTGAGTTTATTTACTGTTGTTCAATAAAGGAATACATACACACAATACAGACTAAGACATTGACTGAGGCATGATAACACGGAGTGAATCATTTACTTATGTCAAACAAAGCTAAGATTGATAATTTGGTTGGTTATGGCCAACAGAAAAATCCTGGACGCGCGTTTCGTCCTATTTGGGACTCGTCAGCTGGATGTACCTGCACACCAGTGATGTTGTTGCTACTAGGATTCGAACCTCGAACCAAATAGGACGAAACGCACGTCCTGGATTCTTCTGCTAGCCACAACCAACCAATTTATCATAATTAACATTCAGGCAATATCGAGGTATCCGCATAGTAGCCCATATGCCAATAGAGGTCGAACAATTCGATCCAACAAAACAACGGAGAATAACAAGTATGTCAATAAGTAGTGAAAAACTAAGATTGTTACTATTTTGTACCAAAAATATTCAGTTCCAGTTCAACGGTCAGTTATGTCGTCAGATCGACGGCGTCGCAATGGCAAGCCCGTTGGGACCACTTTTTGCTGACTTATTTCTTTCAAGTCTATAGAAAGTTCCATCTACGGAAACCCTTCGTGTGCTGGATACTATCTCCACTTCAAGAGTTTTGTCCCAGTTCAATATAAAAAGAACCTAATCAAAACCCTGTTGGATAGGACAGAGAAAATTTCCTCTGAGAGAACCGTTGATCATGAAATTAAAACATTGAACCATATCCTAAATATAAAAATAGCTCCCCGAAAGGATTTATCAATAAGTATTCGAAAAGTAGACAATGCAAAACAGCGTTTCTCAAGGCTCCAAAAAATGTCGGTATTTGTTAAACTGCCTTTAAAAGGAGACTA